GTAAAAATGTAGAACTCATAAACAACCTGTTTTTCTACATTTGATAATTATAGCTTACACTCAGTAGTAGGGAGGGGCAGTGTATGGAGGGAGGTTTGTCTCAATGGCAACATCGCGTAAACAACTTGCGCATGTGTTGGAATGCTGTCTTGGCACATGTGGAGGGATGATAGCGCTGCAGACTGACTCACCGCAGATAGCGCCGGTGCCGGTAATAACCTCCGTAGCACACCTTCAAGCGGGAGATACGACGGGTGTATCCTGCTGTATACCTGCTGCCCATTGGTACAGTTTGGACTGAGTGGATATAGATACTGTTGTCAGGCTCATAAATATAACAAATGACATGGAGATGTCACAAACAGATGTGGGGGGGAAGATAGGGAATGGGTGAATCAAGTATTGTTTCCTCTGCTGCCAGATACATCACTTGGTTGATGAGGTTTATTCAGGGCATCCTGACATGCACAATAAATTCCAAAGTGAAGTGAAAAAATAACCCTGTATCATATGAGTATGATCATCACTTGGGGTATATGATCACCAGATGTGATGTATGATCATCAGATGGAGTGTATGATCACCAGATGTGATGTATGATCATCAGATGGGATGTATGATCATCATGTGATGTATGATCATCAGATGGAGTGTATGATCATCAGGTGGAGTATATGATCATCACTTGGTGCATGTGATCGTGAAATGGTTGTATGGAGGGCTTAGAGAACATGAAAAATTCAATGTTAGAATATCAATGAATTTTGAAAATAGTACCTTTTTAAAACACTCCGATTTTAAATACATTTTTTCTTTCTTTTGTCCCCTTTCCCTACACAGGTCACTTAGTCTTGGATCCTTGATAAGTCACTACATGCTTTTCACAGCCAACTGAATGGCCAGTTAGCCGGTAGTCTGTCATTGTCAGTCGAAGACAGGGATTGTTGATCATTCCATTGGTTTGTCAAGGCTCAGTTATTAACAGTCAGATTCAGCCTGAATATTGCCGACTGCCACAAAGTCTCAAGTATTAACATTGATATTCAGCCCGAATATTACCGACTGCCACAAAGTCTCAAGTATTAACATTGATATTCAGCCCGAATATTACCGACTACCACAAAGTCTCAGTTATTAACGGTCAGAATCAGCCCGAATATTGCCGACTGCCATAAAGTCTCAAGTATTAACATTGATATTTAGCCCGAATATTACCGACTGCCACAAAATCGGTTATTACCATTGATAATCAGCCCGAATATTACCGACTACCACAAAGTCTCAGTTATTAACATTGATATTCAGCCCGAATATTACCGACTGCCACAAAGTCTCAGTTATTAACATTGATAATCAGCCCGAATATTACTGACTGCCACAAAGTCTCAAGTATTAACATTGATATTCAGCCCGAATATTACCGACTACCACAAAGTCTCAGTTATTAACGGCCAGAATCAGCCTGAATATTGCCGACTGCCACAAAGTCTCAAGTATTAACATTGATATTTAGCCCGAATATTACTGACTGCCACAAAGTCTCAATTATTAACATCGATATTCATCCCGAATATTACCGACTGCCACAAAGTCTCAGTTATTAACATTGATAATCAGCCCGAATATTGCCGACTGCCACAAAGTCTCAGTTATTAACATTGATAATCAACCCGAATATTGCCGGCTTCCACAAACAAGCAGCACTTTCCGCCATGTAAAGGTCACCTGACTACAACACACACATGCAGTCCCCTGCAGTGTAACCAGTTGGTCTGACATTTCAACATCCATGCTGCTTCCATCTCTCATTGTCATGGAACTGACAATTTAGTTACCGCTCCCCTTGCCCAGCAACCCCTGCTGCAAGTTATACAATCTGTCAGTGGACTGGGTTTTGCAGTGTGAGCATCTTCACCGATCAATTTCCACTCAGACATTCAAAGTCGGCCATGTCGGACCCACTGTGACAATTCTCTGTCAAGTCTCGGTCTTGTGACTCCTGGCATTTTGTTTGCAAGTCTGCGGTAATTAGATTATTGTGGCATGCCTGGTATTAGCGAACCTATCACGCAGTGCCATGGGACATGGGTGGTGGCCATTTTGGGAGCTCTGGGAAATAAAAATATTACCACTTTTGTCGACATTTCATTGTGTGTTTCAAAGGGTTATTCTGAAAAGATCATTTCCTATTTTGACATGTGTTTCTGTAGGCAGACTCAGGAAACCAACATGAAAGACTTCATGATGTTTTAGAATGACTTTGAAATCAGTCTCCTGCCACATATGGTTTGAACGTGTTGTTTAACACGGACAGCTGACTGAAGCAGGAGCTGGGAAGTGAAATGGAAATAAATTGAAGGCTCAGATTTGAAATGACTTCAGGCACATGTCATCCTGGAGTTGAGTTGTAGGGTGGTTTCTGGATTTGACAAAATGTCATTTGTTCTGGCTCTGATAAAACATTTAAGATAGATGATGGAGATGTGTGTCGAGGCTACAGAGATGCACACTTTCAGGTCTTACAACCTCGTCCCATGTCACACCTAGTGGAGCCCATCCACATCAAAGTTTACATCGCAACGCCTTTGGTTACCTAACCATCAAGGATGGCTAGATTTTAACTGTTTGATGTCAGTATTTATTCTTGCCAGGAATTTCTCAATCAGAATTAAACATAATCTGCTCATATGATTACACAAGGTCGTCATTTCCATGCAGCGTAGTATCCCTAAGATGTCCAGAAATTGGTGATCATTGACTTGAATCCTGGTGTGCCCTGATTAAATTCATAGGTTTATCTTGTTCATACCCCTGTATCACTTTATGTTTTGCTCCCACACCCCACATGTCTTGCTCCCACACCCCACACACCTTGCTCCCACACCCCACATGTCTTGCCTTGCTCCCACACGCCACATGCCTTGCTCCCACACGCCACATGCCTTGCTCCCACACCCCACATGCCTTGCTCCCACACCCCACATGTCTTTCCTTGCTCCCACACCCCACGCCTTGCTCCCACACCCCACATGCCTTGCTCCCACACCCCACATGCCTGCTCCCACACCCCACATGCCTTGCCTTGCTCCCACACCCCCACATGCCTTGCCTTGCTCCCACACCCCACATGCCTTGCCTTGCTCCCCACACCCCACATGCCTTGCCTTGCTCCCACACCCCACATGCCTTGCCTTGCTCCCACACCCCACATGCCTTGCTCCCACACCCCACACCTTGCCTTGCTCCCACACCCCACATGCCTTGCCTTGCTCCCACACCCCACATGCCTTGCCTTCTCCCACATCCCACATGCCTTGCCTTGCTCCCACACCCCACATGCCTTGCTCCCACACCCCACATGTCTTGCTCCCACACCCCACATGCCTTGCTCCCACACCCCACATGCCTTGCCTTGCTCCCACACACCCCACATGCCTTGCTCCCACACCCCACATGCCTTGCCTTGCTCCCACACCCCACATGCCTTGCCTTGCCCCACACCCCACATGCCTTGCCTCCTCCCACACCCCACATGCCTTGCCTCCCCCACACCCCACATGCCTTGCCTTGCTCCCACACCCCACATGCCTTGCCTTGCTCCCACACCCCACATGCCTTGCTCCCACACCCAAATGCCTTGCTCCCACACCCCACATGCCTTGCCTTGCTCCCACACCCCACATGCCTTGCTCCCACACCCCACATGCCTTGCCTTGCTCCTTGCACACCCCACATGCCATGCCTTGCTCCCACACCCCACATGCCTTGCCTTGCTCCCACACCCCACATGCCTTGCCTTGCTCCCACACCCCACATGCCTTGCCTTGCTCCCACACCCCACATGCCTTGCCTTGCTCCCACACCCCACATGCCTTGCCCTGCTCCCACACCCCACATGCCTTGCCTTGCTCCCACACCCCACATGCCTTGCCTTGCTCCCACACCCCACATGCCTTGCCTTGCTCCCACACCCCACATGCCTTGCGCTCACACCCCACATGCCTTGCGCTCACACCCCACATGCCTTGCCTTGCTCCCACACCCCACATGCCTTGCCTTGCTCCCACACCCAACATGCCTTGCCCTGCTCCCACGCTCATGATGTCATGAGATTCAAAGGCTTGGTTGAGGAGGGTGTCTTGCCATATTAAACATGGGTTTGTTTACACATAGGTAGAAGTATTATACAGGCACCAGTGTTTCATTATTTTCTCTTATGACTGAGCGTTGATATGAACTTACTCAGTGACTTCTAGCGGCAGCCTCTTAAAGTGGTACTCTTGTTGGAGGTAGTTGTCAGGCGATCATCGTAAGGACCGGCTTCCTGACCACTTGACAAGTGGAAACTGTTCTTATGTATAAGTGCTGATTGTGTGAGATCTATTGCTGCATGTATCTGGACTGAGATGAAGGGAGAATTGTTTCTGGTATATTTGATACCAGGTTTACAAGGAAATTCGGTTGTTTTGTGTGCAGTTGATGCCCTGGAATTCAGTCAGTGTCTACATATTCAGGGAACTGCCCTGAGGATAAGAGTAATTCACTACCTCTGGTCCATATGTATGCAACTCAAACAAATTATATAACATCAAATTGTTTACATTTTCATATTACTAAACTTGTCTATCAGATTAACTGTAGTAACATGATTCTCTAACCTATTTTGAGTAGTATATATATAGTAGGTACAAGCTGTGACAACCCCAAAGTTCTGCCTTAATTATGGCCTGGGGGGATGTATATGAAAATTATGGTTCAGAAAAATAAGTTGAGTAACCGTATTGCTGACTAATGTATTAATGAGTTACTTCAGGGATGTGTGGCCTTGACCTTGTCAATAAGCAAAGGGGTGCAACTCTGCAAAGCATATCTGTTTTGCTAGTTTGTACAACTGTCTGTCATAGCTCTCTGTGACACACCTTTGTAAATGAAGAAATGCCTACAAATTATGCTCTACAAATGTAACAAACCGCATCTTTAGGTGTCTTGTTGTGTTTCAGGTGATGGAAGCTGGCAAGGACTCGTTACCACGTTGGCTGGTCTTCTCCCCGAAGAAGCAGCTACTCAAGGGATTGCCTACATCCAGTGACCTTGGGCAGTACAACATCGAGGTGGTTGCCGTCGGACTCAATGGTGAACAGGCCAAGGACATATTCTCCATCTTTGTGAACGAGGACACTGGACCAGCTGCAGGTTCAACTTTACGATTCAAGGAAGGTGGCCCGAAAACTGTTCGTTGTAAGAGATCCGAGCCGGAGACTGCTGTGAGCATTGTGGTTGATGTTGATGTTGATAATCTGGGTGCGCAGGAAAGGCTTGCCATCCTCACAAAACTTGTATCTCATCTGAACCTTGCCGAAGATATGGTGAAGCTCAGTCAGGTTGGACAGAAGCCTTTGACAGACGCCTCAGCTCTGGTGTCTGGTGCTGGTGATGCCAAAACTCTCCAGACTCCAGGATCGTTTGTGTCATGGCTGGTCGGATGTGGCAGGGTACAGCAGGACCATATGCAAGCCCTCCAGCAGGTGGAGACAGACTCCAGTAATGGTGTCATGGCCGATGCCATTGGCTACCCAATCCATGTCTGGCATGTTACAAACAGCAGGTTTCAGGAACACAAGAGGCGGAAGAGACAGGCCATACGGGCAACTGCTACCCCGGCCGTCACACCCACCCTGCCTATAAGAGGTCCCACTGACACCATCCGAGCTACAGGCACGGAGCAGGATGCCATGACACGACCTGTGCCCACACTTGACTCGCCATCATTCGGCATCCAGCCAACAAAGACAATGGCACCGATGGAGAAGACTGCCAGTCCTGTGATGCCCACAAAGGTTCCTGGTGGCATGAAACCTTCTGTTGTTATGCCAGAAGAGAAGCCTATGACAAAGACACAGGTTTTGCCAACCAAGACATATGTGATGACTGATGTGATGCCTTCAAAGTCTGTGCCAATGCCTACTGATGCTCCAACTAGAAAACCAGAATCTGGAGCCTGCAGGGATCTAGTGCCTGTTGTCAAGGAACCAATGAAGAACATGATGTACTCTGTAGGCGAAGTCATTAGGTACAAGATCCCTGAGAATACGTTCTATGACTGCAGAGTTGGAAATACCAGAAAACTAAGACTGCTTCTGATGGCCAACACCACAACTGCTCTTCCGTCTGATTACTGGATCAAGTTTGACATGAAGAAGCAGCTGATCCAAGGATTGCCTTTGGAGGGGAACATCGGCAAACACCTGTTTAACCTGATCGGTTATAACGCTGACCAAGCAGACACCGTTGCCAAGACTGCCTTCAACATCACAATTATACCAGACCCAAGGTCAGCATCTGGTCAACTCAACCATGAAGTCTCTATGACTCTTGACTATGATTTTGAGAAGTTTTCTAGCAGTACTGAAAACAAGATCAGTTTTCTGAATAAAGTAGCCAAGCTTAACGGTGAGCGAAATGCTAAAAATTTTAAAATGAACAGTGTCACGAAAGGTTCAACTGTTGTGTCCTGGACCAACACTGATCTTGCCTCCCCAGATTGTCCTGTTGATCAAATAAAGGCTATGATGTCCAAGTTTGTCCAGGAAGATGGATCACTGAACAAAGAAGCGATAAGAGGCATGAAACCTTTTAACCTGAAGGGCGTTGGAGTGGTTCCGCTTGGAGCTTGTGAAAATGACCCCAACTTCCCTGTCCTACCAGGAACCAAAGATGACACGGATGACCCTTCATCACCAGATGGGACGGACACAACCGACGACACATCGGTAGATGAGAACCCACCAGTTACACCGGAACCTGAACCAACCACGACTGAGGGTGTGAGGGCAGGATCTGCAGGCGGTGCTCAGTCAGACGATATCTGGATTACAACGGTGGTGCCAGCTGTAGTGATTGTAGCCATCTTGCTGCTGGCTCTCCTCATCGCTTGCATCCTGTACAGAAAGAAGAGGAAGGGAAAGATGAACCTGGAGGACCAGAACACATTCGTAAACAAGGGCGTACCAGTAATATTCCAAGATGAACTGGATGAAAAGCCTACAGATAGTAGCAAGCCTTTGTTAATGGAAGGACAGCCCCCCTGTCCTCCTCCAGAGTATCAGAGAGGTGATAGTCAAGGCTCCACTCCTCCTGTGAATCATAAACAACCTCAGTTTGATCATGATGACCATATAGAGGACACGAACGTCACTTCGCCGCTGTACCAGCCGCCACCACCAGTTACTGCATCCAGCGGCAACAAGCAGCCCCGCCCACACGTACCCCAACCAGCATACCGCAGCCAACCTCCCTCCATCCCACCATAAACTCTCCCTCATCTCCGAGAGGTGTCGTCAGAAGATTGAGGAACAACACAGGGGTGTGGATTTGTTGAGGATTGTTATTGTTTAAGAACTATGCATTGCCTTGAACAGACTTTGGGGTCGTGGAGCAGTTTCTTCATTCTTCTTATCAGGATCCTGATTCTGACAAATTTCAATTGTACAGCATTGTTTGAAATATTGCACATACCAGTGTAACAGCTGAAAGAAATCTTGGAGATGAAATTGTACCCTAGCAACTTGAAATATCAGTGCTTTACTTGTGGTGGGACACTAAATCTGCATGCATTATTGATCATGCCATTTATGCCTTATGAGGAGACAGTGACTTCATGGTTCTTATATGTTAAAGCTGGGTGTCGCTGAACTGAGGAGAAACTGTGGCTTCCAAGTTGTTGCATATCTGCATGGAGGAAGCCTTGTGGATACATGCAGGGACTGATGACGGTAGACTGTAGTACCTGACTCGGGTCAGCCATGTGTAACGTCAGTGTTGTCTTAGTCATCTCAGGAGATTGTTATAATACTCAACCTGTAGCGGGGGGACTAACTAATTGGATGGCAGAACTGGACTCAAGAGTCACTCAATGGAGTTTTCTTACTGTAGGTTTTAGCTTCAAAAGAGGATTTTAACATTGTTTTTTTAGAATGTTTTCTAATCATATTTGTTGTTATGACATCAGATTATTTTGATAAAATTGATATTTGATACTGCTGAAATTGAATCGGAAAAAAAGCTCATTGTCATGATCTGTGGTGTTCTGCCTGCAGCAAGTCAACAAGCAAGAGGTACAATCTAAATCATGGTTCAGTTGAAGCTTGTGAGCTCAGTCACAATGTGTCCAACAATCAGATGGGGTATGAAATCCAGTGGTAGGTTGAGTTATGTTTACCAATGCAAGCATTTAGTCTGCAATTGTGTGTATTATCTACTGTCAGCATAGAAAGCTAGCAGCACTGTAGAATGTGTTCTGTTGTAGAAGAAGCCTTGACCTTTATGGGCAATAGAACATGACCTTTGACCATAACGTGACCATTTGTTAAAAAGAGCTGAAAAAATTATTTCATGTGAAAAATTCATATAGTTTTTTGGGGGGGATTTATGCTATTTTACTGTAATGGTCAAGGTTTGCCTGCATAATAAGATGACATATTATGTCAGGTACAGAATAATAACATGTCACCAGCCGCTGAGGCTGTCATTGATTTCAGTTGGTGCAGGTCTATGTACATAGAATCATTAATCATTGTGAGTGTACCTTGTTTACGCTTATATAGTACACAGATTGTATAGATCCTACTTGTTGCATCCCCTGTCTGGAGGGTGGACTGATCACGTACTTCAGTCCAGCCTCACTGATAGGCTCCCTTCACTGTTTATTATCAGACAAGGCACAGTGTTGAGTGTAAGTTTTGAAATCATGCCTAGTTTATTAATCAATGTCATCAGTGTTTGTATGTTCCTGTATTTATTTCATAACTGATGATGTTGCAATATTGTGCCAATATATCGACTGACTTCATTATCTGCTTGTCATAGTGTCATTTAGCTGTCTTTAGCTTAGCTTTTTTTCACACGTCTTGATTCTCAAATCTTCCCTTCTTCAAGGTCACTGTACTTGGTGGAAGGTCAGGGGTGAGAATCAGTTTTGAGATTTTGTTCACTCAGGTATGCTAACATGCCCAAGTAATACAAGCATAATGTGCTCATGTGTTGGTATCCATAGTAACGCAGATATTAGCGCAAAATGACAGGTAAGATTTTTTTCCCAAAATATTTTATCAAACTTGGGACATTTATTCTAATTTATTTCATGTGTTGAATGCAAGGTGGCTCCAGCATTTGTTTCTTTTGAACTAATAAACCCAGCATTTATGAGTTGGCAGAGTCATTTTATTTTGCTAAGGCCAGTTCCGTCTGTGTATAGACAGGTGTCAGCACTGAGAACAGTGCGTCCCCTGGCCACAGTGACCAGACAATGGACGTTGAATCCTAAACTTGAGCAAATACAGGTGTATGATTGTATCGGATCAGTCATTTTAATGGAGGATTGAGTTGTAGTCAGTTCCGAACTATCCAGTCATTCATGATTTATATTTTTTAAATGTAGTTTGGTGCATTTGACCAAGAAACATCTCTCCAGACCTCCTGCCTATAGTATGTAAACCTCCCATTCAATGGTAATGGTGTTGATGTTGTACATTTAAGTAAACATGTTGATATGTGTGAGGAATGTGTGAGCTCTTATTGCAAGATGACCCGTTACTCACTTGTACCAGGGTACTAGCCGCACAGACCTCCTCAGCTGACACCATGGAGGTCTGTGTGGCTAGCACTATGGTCCTCCGTAGTCCCAACTGTGGGGTCTGTGGTTAGCACCGTGGTCCTCCATAGTTCAGCTGTGGGGTCTGTGGCTAGCACTGTGGTCCTCCATAGTTCCAGTTGTGGAGGTCTGTGTGGCTAGCACCGTGGTCCTCCATAGTTTCAGCTGTGCAGGTCTCTTTCCACATACTCATACCTTTCTCCAGTGATTTAAAAAAAACTTTTCTACTTGACTTCAAAAGTCCTGTACCTGCAGCCTTGTGTTGGTTGTATATATCTGTGTGCTTCTGGTTCTGAACAGATTCAGTGACTGCCAAAAGAATAGAACACCTTGTCAACAGGAACTCTGAGGGTGTATGAAACACTTCTGTAGTTTCCTGTTTCTGGATTGACTTAGAAAATTCAGGAAGTTACTACCATGAAATATACATTAAAGAAAGACTAGGTATTGTAGTTTCTTGCCTTTTGTATTTACCTTGATGAGAAACATAATTAAAAACAAAACACTCATCCATATGTCAACAATAAGGCTCTAATTTGATGCCCTCTAAGTCAACAGTCCTTCCAAATGTTCTATGAAATTGAAAAAATCACGATCTGAAGAGGGAATTGTATGGATGCAATGTTTCCTGTTAAGAAGTAAACGTCTGAATAACACAGTGATGTACCAGCACTCGGGGGAGATCAGATGAGATGAACCTGGCCATTATTTCAAGAATTCTCCATTAATTATTGAAGGATTAGAATGTGTGATGTATATCTCCTCAGAGTTCATTGGTTGTGAGGAAGGTGTTACATGTAGCTAGCTTCAAGAGATGTAGTACATTGTCTGCTGCTGCGGTGTGGATGCGGTTACCATGTTGTACAAAGCGTGTGCTCGAAATGAATGACTGAGGGAACTGATCCCTCAAGTGAAGATTTGTCATTACTGTACCGATACGTAAATATAAACCTGTCTTGTCAGTGTACCATCTAGCCCGATTCAATAAACGCAATATGTAAAACATGACCACCTGTTTGTGTTTTCTTCTGGTACCTGAAGTTGTTGGGATGGCAACATGGCACCAGGCAAGCAACTCCATATTGCTGACCGACTGTCCTGCAACAGCAGTTATCACCATGACTGACTGTACCCTTCATGGTGTCTGTGCTGGGGTAGACAGGTGGTTGTCACGGTCTGCAGTGCTGGGTTCATCTTCCCCACCTGGGTACCAAGTGGGAAGGTCGTTTCTGGTGTCCAGTCATACTTGATTAACATTGTTTAAAGTGCCCTAAAAACCATTCACTCACCTCCCTGGTGTTGATGTTCCTGAGGTGAGGAACAGAACCAGGTGAGTACACCACAGCTGATGTGTCAACATGCCACAGAGAAAATGTCACATGTCATCAGATATAACCAACAAAACACAAACATGTTCTTTCAAATATAGAGACACAAGTTCCACCGAGACCTGAAACAGACCTGTCCAAGGAAGCTTAGTTGGCGCCTATATCTTGGTAATCCTATTTGTATACTAGCAGTATATACTGTTGATAGAAACAAATAACTCAGTTTAAAATGAAAAGGTGATCCAGCTCGGAGATCAGAGCCTAAGGACATTTAGATTTGCTTCCCTTTGGGCGTTTTCGTCACAGAAAGAGGTGGGTGGAAGGGAAAATACTGTGGTTCAGGAACTGAGACCGACTTCCCAGTAAGCTTGTCCTATGGTGTTATCTTTGTACACGGATCCTACCTCGTGAGAGCATTAGCATTCATTCACCTACATTCGCAAGGAATTCGCTCCAATAAGTAACAATTGGAATTCCTTGAAACAAAGCTGTTCAGGAAGGATAAGAATATGTGGATTTCTTTGCTACAGTAAGACGGACGTTTCGGTGTAGGTTCTAAAATAATAATGCCGTTCACATCCAGAGTATGGATCGAGAGCCATATATAAAATGTTTTTTACAGTTAGATTAGAGCTTCAATAAACTTGGTATTCATAAATGTTTCATGTCTTTATGTTCACCCAACTTCTATTCTTGTCAAAGATACAACAATAAATTCACAGGCGACAAAATCACCAATATGTGACTGATGAACGTGTGAAGGTCAGGGTCTTCAATGGCGGGCACGTGACAAGGTAAAACTGGTCAAGGAAAATAGGAGAATATAGTGCCTTGTTTAAATGGGCTGTTCTGTGTGTGCTAATTTTTTCAGGGTGACTTGTGAAAGCTTAAATGAAAGGTGGGCATTGTACTTTATTGCAATTTTTTTTGGGTCCACAATATACACATGGTATTGACACCAGCCTTCCTTGATCTGACCCCAAGTTCAAGGCAGTCTAGTGTGTTTCGGCTCGTATCTTCCGGTGACCATTGTTTACAGTGGATACAGCAAAATTGACATGGTCGATCTAGGCCCATATTTTGCCGGTTGGTCAGCATGCAACAGGAGAACAGCCTACGACCGATATTAATTATGGTGGACTGGCATGTCACTGTAGATAGCAAAGAAGAAAAATAATTGTGGTCTGAGGCCTGATGGGGCTTCGTCTATTTTAGCAAATGGCTTCAGGTTGTAACTACACGGAAGTAAATCCCACAATACACCCTGGTTATGTAATCAGCTGGGTGATCTTGGTCTCGTTTTAGATCTAGGTCAAAACATTGCTATCAGTGGCGTGGGTGGAATGGAGACATTGGATTTGTAAGAATAACCATTTATCCCTATAGATATACCTCATGAAGGCTGAGTTAGTAGTGTCAGTGTGGTTGTCATAGGAGTCTAATCTGGGGCAGTTACCAATATTCACAAGTCTGCATCCTCCTATGTTATTACCTGTTACAGTGTTAGCGTTCATGTTCCTAACACCAGTACCTTAGTAGGACACAAATATCACGTCTAAAGCTATTTGAAACAGGAACGCATCCCCTTTTACAAATGTGAAGCACAACTCCCCCTTTAACAAAACACTCGGGACCTGTGCATTTCGGTATCAGCCGTCGTTGTGAAGAAAAGGCCTCTGGGGAGTTGTCTGTACGCAGGTTGTAATTGACAGACTCACAAGAAAAAATTAACTAAAAACATGCAGTGTAAAGTACTTCTTTGTGAAATAGCGCTGTAAAAAATCAACCCGTGTCGTCTATTTCAGTTTGGGAAAGAAATGTAATGAAGCAGTTATCACGTAATTGAATCCAATTTGTTTTTTATCTTGCACCAATTCAGCACTAGAGAACAGCACGTGAACTTCTTTCAAACGTCAAGGGTATAAAACCATACATCGAAGGTGGCTGCTGCACATGGTGAGAATATCAATATCCACGATCAATCTGATGCCATTGTTCTATCAGGCCCCGACTCTGTATACGCTACAGGTGATGACTGGGTGCCGCCCTCGGACTGGTCGCGGGAAGGTTTCAGGTCGGACTGAGGACGGAATTCCAGACCAACCCAGCTGCCATGTTGACAGAGGTTCGGGATCAATCAAGCGTTCTGGCTGTGCCAAACTCTCCGGGTGAGATAAAACTGATTGTTGAAGCCTTTGTTCTGTCTAAACCTATCTCAACCTTCAAGACCCCCATCTTTGTTTTAGAAAACTGGGCTGAACTAATTGCTGATGTGGCGGGAGGATCGAGTTTCTCAAATGGCACATGTTGAACTACAATATTTGACAGTAAGGATAAACGTGTCGAGAAAAGTTGAGATGTGTGACTCAAACATCGTCACGTGCACATTCCACGTGGTGCAGACCTCAGCCCAGCGTGACATATGATACGAAACATGTCTGTCTTGGGAAAAAAACAATCACAAGTCTTTGTCTGATGTAAGGATGATCGTTTCCTGAATGGCGAGGAGCCCGTCTAACGTTTACAGTTTACTCCTCGGGACACAACAACGGCCTCAATACAGGATTTCATCAGTTTTAACCTTGTCATCAGTCTACCGTTTTTCCTCGATTAAAGACCATTATCGTCTTTCTGGTTATATGATGAGTGAAGAATACCGGAAAGAATTATGCCCCAGGCGTTAATTCGAGGACACCCGGTAAAGAACCGACTGGATTTTAGTTAGACATAGAAGCTTCAGTCTCTGCTTCAAGTCAATTATTTTCTGGAAGGAGTCGAAGATTTTTATCTGAGCAAATATGTTTTTGAAACGTTCAACGAACAATAATATTACCTGAAGCAAAAACGTTTCATGATGTAATTTCACAGCAAGAATAATCTTTTCAAAGCCCAAACCCCACCATAACTTTTTCCTGGTGTCAGTCAGCCAATCACAGGAATGTTTATATTGGAACAACGTGTTTTTGTGGATCAGCCGAGAGGCCTTCGAAACTGCTGAACAAAATACAATATTCACTTGAAAATTAGATTTGATTGGAAACGAAAACGTTACCAGACTCACCTGTAGTGAAATATTCATTGAAATGATGAATGTACTGTCGCCTATGGTAACCGTGCTGAATACACCCCCTCCCAATAACATTTGTTTGTTTGTTTGTTTTACGTTTACTCATGCTGTTGATAACTGGATTGTCTGATCCAGATTATTTACAGAACGCCGCCATATAGCTGGAATATTGGTAAGTGCGTAGTAAAGCTAAACTCACTTACTCACTCACTCACTCTTCCACAACATGCTGTTTGGTGTCTGGTTATATATCTAATAATATCAGCCACCCGCACCTATATACACAGTTTCAAAAGAAAAGCATACGTGGGGATTACTTGTAGACATGTGTAACATGGCAGCACCGCCATGTTGGTAGTGTCAGTGCAAGCACGGGACATGGATAAAGCCACCAATATTCCTGGTATAATTACGTTGAACATTTGCCGTATCAATCTTACTTAGGTCCTTTAGTCCATGTCTACGAACCTCTCCGAAGATTTATTATGTACCTAATTTCATTCTCCAGCAAACTCGTTACGACACAGAGCTAGTGTGTGTGGCTATATCATTACCTAAGCCTTAATCCTTTACATAATACGCGTCGTTAATTGGTCTGTAATTCACTGTTACGTTAAATCTCAAGGAGGCGGTACTTTATACGCCATAACGCCCTTGGGGTGTTATACACACGGCCCAGGGTTGCCGGACCCCTGATAAACACGTCAACACTGCAAGGCGTTAATTGGGTGTGACAGCTAGATTACCACGGGACATGGGCTAGTTTGGTTTGTTGATGGAGAGGGGGGCAGCACAATGTCGTGTTGTTCCTGGTTACACATGATGCTGCAGTGGAGCCATGAATCACACTGAAGTATTTCCCGAGATGGAACTGTGCGGGAATGTTGTATAAACATGTACGGCATTTAAATCTGAGTTATGCAGAGGACAACGACGTCAATTACTTCATCAGAGGAGAGCGACGTCTGACTTAACCACCCCCTACTTGCACATAATAGACCGATTAAAGAAATTCAACGGACATTAATGCATATTATATTTTTTATGTCCTTGGACATGCCTGCAGCATGATGCACAGTGACTTTTATTCGCTACAAGTCTACTATGCACCATGCCAAGTTGGAAAATAGTTGATATAGGATATAATAACGTATCTATTGAGAACAATACAGCGTCGTTGGTGGTACCGAGGATTTACGAATGCAGACAATAAGAGACCATTATAGACTCCCTAGATGAAGAGATGGCATAACGAATGTCTCTGGAAAAACAACATGGCGTAAACAAATGTGGCGTACGGCACGGATAATAATGTTGTCATCTTCAGTTTACATATTGTCCATGTTGCTGTACTCGCTAGATGTGACGTCACTAGCTCGTAGCTCTTGGCGACTGCTGTTGTTGTTCATTGTTGACGTGGTCACAATTACTCGAGGTAAGTCAAGTTGGACAGTCCTGAAAGACCAGATCTGATTGGTCGATATGACCAGGTAATTCAAGTTGGGCAGTCCTGAAAGACCAGATCTGATTGGTCGATATGACCAGGTAAGTCCAGTTGGGCAGTCCTGAAAGACCAGATCTGATTGGTCGATATGACCATGTACTCTCTGACT